TGGCCTGGTGCAAAACAGGTAAAGGCGCTTCCATGCGAAACCCGTCTTTTCATCACATGTCATATGTTTTGCAACAAAGCCGCAAATTTCGGAGTCCAACTTCCATGCATCTTTTAGGCTGAGACTCAGAGCAAAGACAGGTGTGTTTGGAAAAGTCTCAGCGCCAAGTGATAGTTTTCCTTGCGAAGCAGCCCGGATAAGGATTGACAAGAATGCAAATGGAGGGATCACTCATCAGGAGTTCGAGGTGTGCTTTGCAATTCGGCTGCTAGATTTGACATGGAAATCACTGTCATGAAGAATTCAGGCCTTTAGGCTCAGCATTTCTCCACAAGTATCGGACAGGTACCAGGCGCTAGTGAGAGTCAAGGTTTTGCGATTGGTGAGCTATGAACAGATTTCTATGATCTGGAAGGCTGCTATGGTTGACCCTGCCCTGCGCGCTGTCTTTGATGCTTTGGAGATCAACGCGGCAGATGCATGGGCTTTGTTTCAACAACTGGACACTGCAACTTGTCTAAAACTCCATCGAAAGACTCGCTTTGGGATCTCTCCGCATGAGGGCCTATCACCATCCCAGGACGGCGAAAACAACGTTGATGTAGATGAGTTTCTTGAAGGCACCGCTTCCTGGTTTCAGATGCCTTCACTTGTGATAATTCTATATAATTCTGGGGCTTCCTGCAAACATCTTCAAACATCTGTAAACCATGCATATTGCATGACTTCCTGCTGTGCAGGATGCATGATATTGAAAGGACCGGCCAGGTCTATAGACGTGTCTCGGCACAAGGCTACTTGTAGATAGAGTAGCTTTGAGTTAGACAGGCCCTTGAATGATTGAAGAGTCTTTCGCCCGTGGACCTTTTCTTTGCCTTCCCACAGCTGTAAGCAGCGGCAGACGCAGCGCATAGCTAGTTTAAACTCATCGCTCCCCTTGTCCCACGACCTCCTGTATTCATCTGACGCCAGAAATTGCACCATGCTCACGATATCTTTAACATGTGCAGTTCCCATCTTCAAGTGCAGTTCCCAGAAGCTCAAAAAACTTTGAGGTGATTTGCATCAAGCGCGACATGGCAGCGGTCCGGCATCGCTTTGATCAGCAGGTGCGAAGAGCATCGCTCCAATTGTGCCAAGAGCATCGATCCTCACGATCCTTCCTCACATATCTCGCACAAGAATCTACTGAAGCCAAGAATCTTCAGACTGAAGCCGCAAACATGACAGCACCACACCACAAGCCTTGCCTGATGTTCTCGCCGATGGTGGAGGCCAACAGCATTTCTCAGCTTGAGACAAGTCTGAAAGATATGCTTCACATCGTCGAGAGGCACTGGGGTCACTAGGGACATGGCTGACACGTGCTGACACGACTGAAAGCAGTGCCCGACATTTATTCTTAGTGTGCACACGCTTGCTCATGTGGATCAGCATGGTACACTCAAACGATTTCGATGCATTTCGATTACATGATGTTTGCATCCACATATGTATCTACATTGATATATATATATATATATGATATATGTATACATATAATATGATATATAGATTCATATCTACACTCCGAGCAAAAAATATACTTCACTAGGACGAATGTTTTTTCCCGTCCGCTGTTTCAGAACAAAGCAATGTATCTCTCTTTGCGGATCAACGATATTAGCGTGGCCTGCATGGTGGATCGAAATTACTAGCCGTTTTGAGCTAACATTCTTTTAAAGGTTGCACATGTGATCGGCGGTGAGCAAGTAGAAGTTTCCCAAGAGGAAAAACATTTGTCCTGGCGGTGTATACATCCTATGTATATATGATTATATATGTGTGTATATATATACATATATATATATATATGTACACACATGTATTTACATGCATGCATGCATGCATGCATGCATACATGCATACATGCATACATGCATACATGCATACATGCATACATGCATGCATACATGCATACATTACATTACATTACATTACATTACATTACATTACACATTACATTACACATTACATTACATTACATTACACATTACATTACACATTACATTACACATTACATTACATTACATTAATACATACATACATACATACATACATACATACATACATACATACATACATACATACATACATACATACATACATACATACATACATACATACATACATCCATGCATACATACATACATACATACATTACATAAATACATAAATACATACATACATAAATACATACATACATAAATACATACATATATACATTACATACATACATACATACATACATACATACATACATACATACATACATACATACATACATACATACATACATACATACATACATACATACATACATACATACATACACATACATACATACATACACATATATTCACACATACACACACGCACATGTTCACGTTTCACAAGAGAAACACACACACACACACGTCCTTACATGTATGTATATATATATATATTTATTACATGATTAAATCACATAAACGATCGGACAAACGCACAATTCTGTATACACAGTTGTATTCTACAGATAATATACACAAATCTGTGTGTTGCAGATTACCTCGAAGTCCTTCTATCATCCAAGAGATTCTTGCTCATCCATCCTGTATATATTAAGTTGCAAAGAGGGATCATTTATTTATGCAGATTGACACCCTTGATAGATATCCACGCCGGTCCCTTGTCAGACTCAAAATGGGTTTATGATTTCTGGATGCGTTTGGATTCACTCAGTGTTTGGAGAGTTTGGATCTGCAAGGCATCTCTCGGGGGAATCTTCGTTGATGTATCTCACAGGCTTCTTAACAGCCCTCGTTGAAATTGTGAGGCCTGGTGGTGTTCATGGTCATAGACAACAATCCCGACACTCCGAACTAAAAAACTTTCTGAAGTCTTGATCAACTGTAGCCGCTGTAGCCAATACAATTTAAGAGCGACGTTGACGTTTGTCAGCCGCAACTTTTGGCAGTTGCGATTCGCAGGATTTTTCCACGAAGAATGTGTAGGCAAACTGTGACTTCCTGTCCATCGACACAACCTTGGTGCCAAAATCATCGATCGCATCGTATGTAATTATCAATGCGATGCAGCTTTGATCTTCCATCTCCCAAAAAATAAATTGACCAGAGGACCGGCATCAAGAAAGCTCGTGTATTCACATGAAGTTGGTTTTATTGAGAACAGGAAATCACCTCCAAAAAAGGTTGCAGCACGAGCAAAGATCCCACACGATCATTGCATAGCTGCAGAGCAAATCAAAGTGGTAAACTTCCAGAGGAAGTCACAGGAGCCGCTTTTTGTTGCATCTTGATGAATCTTGCACTTCTTCTGCAGCTTAGTTGTGCCACCATGACGGGAATGCGGGCTAGAGCAAGATAGTTTCTCCATTGACGCCCGTAATGAAGTTTCACGATTGTGTAGGCTGTTGCAACATTTAAAGATGCTGCTTAAGTCCCTTTTCAAGTGGAGCTTGTTTGCATTAGGGCTGCAATTTGAAAGATACTGCAAGATATTGCCAGTCCAGGGGCACTTGACAGGGTATTCCAGTTGCATGGTGGCATGATGTTTGAGCTGCGCAGCAAATACTGCGAGGTTGTTCTCAGACAAGCGTGCCCGGCCATCCAGATCATTTCAATTCCCATCATGCCAGATTGTGTTTCACAGAGTGTGTTTCACAGAGACGAAAGTATGGTCCTGGATTTCCAAACAAATGCGTGCCGGCCTATTCACTTGAGTAACAATGTCGATACTACCTGTAGCTGTAGCTTCAGAACACTTACAAGATTTGCAGTTGGGAAGGATTAGGGCACACTTGCGCTGTGGCAGAAACACAGCTCTTTTGCCTAGCCTCTCCAGAGGAGAAGGATCTGGAGCAAAACCACGTGCTGCCATAGTGCAGCAGCGTAGCATTTTCAGCTCGAGAGACATTCAAGAAAATCCTGCAGCCCATTGCAAGCTTCTGAGACAAGATCAGGTAGATTTTTGCGCAATCTCCAGTTATATCCAAACTGATAGGCTGACATTTCCAAGGAGCACGAAGAAACCAATATTTTTACTGGTCACTCTGGTTACTTTGCATATTCTTTGCATGATGTTCGCTATGTGCAGGGCCTTCACAATAGGCAATCGTGAGCATATGCTTTTGGCTCGTTCCGGATACTGAGTGTGGACGAGTACAATCCTTTCAGGTCGCAGAATCAGGCTGTCTTGCAAATATGAATTTGATATTTTTGTTGGAATCATACAGTAGCATGTTTGAGCTCAACCACGGTGAGCACTGCGGATTTGAGGCCAACGCAAGTCAATGCTTCGCCTACCTGTGAAGACATGCAGAGGCAGAAAGACACCAAGCTCCTAGACTAGACACCAAGCTCATGCATCCACTGCACCGCAAGACATAGAGCCTTTAATTCCAGACACCAGTGCTGAACAACTTTCAATAGGGCTGCTGCTCGGATGTTCTCTTTTTGACATACAATCAGGTGCAGTAAGTGCGAGGAAACACAGCCAAATAGTCACTCATACATGTGACAATAACACACGCAGGCGCGCACACACACACAAGACTCATCAAGTGCTATTTTGATAAAACAGGATTATTATATAAATGGTCGTATATAAATGATAAGTATGCCAGAAATGGTACGTGTTCTATATGTATATAATAATTACACAATATTACACATTAGTATGTGTGTGTATATATATATATATTCATAGTACATACGTACATACGTACATACATACATATATATATACACATGTGTGTATATATATATATTATATATATACATAATTATATATACACATACATAATTATATATATATATACATACATATATATATATAATATATATATATTTATTCAATATTTATTTACAGATATTTACAGTATTCGTAGCTATTTTGCTTCCCTTTGCAACTGTTCCCCATGGCCAGCTGAGAGATGCCGCCGCGCGCTGCGTCGCCTCACGTGCAACGCCTGGCGAAGCAGCTCTTGGCTTTGCCGAAAGCGGAACTGGAACAGGTTCGAAAGGAGCCACTGTGATGCCTTGCAAAGCCGTGCAAATCTGTGTTCCCAAGTACTCTTCAAGTTCCTAGGGTTAGGAAGTTTAAGAATTCAAGGCATTTTTGTTTAAATTCCTGTGAAACCGAAGATTCCTGTGAAAGTTGGAGAGTTTGGGTTTGAACCGAAGATCACAGCTGGGCAGCTCCAGGAGTGCCGGGAGCGACTGATACCGAAGCCTTCTTTTGCTTCGTCGAAAGCCATGCCAAAGACGTATGATCCGAAGCTGGGCTGCTCATGCCACCCTAAACCATGATAGAATTCTAATATAACATCCTAGACTCAGAAGTACTTGCTGTGGTGGATCTGAATCAAGCACAAGAACATTGGATCGGATTGAATTTGATTTTACTAGATCAGAGTATGCATCAGAGAATTCAGAGACACCTGACCGATGTACATAATATTTACTCTGATAACGCCAAACAATATCTAGATTTATAGTGTCTATACGCCCCAGGGGTATCAACAAAGAACAAGCTGCTTTCGATTTGCCGAGGAAGCTCAAGCGCTTGCGAAGCGATTGCCCTTTGTCGGTACGGCAGCATTTGGCCACCGTGGGACATCGAATGGGGGCTGTTCACCCCGCTTACATCTTCGCAGGAGCTGGGCCCTGCATCCTCCCATCACAGGACGGGCACTCTGGGGCTCAAAAGGGGGCTGTGGTTCGATGTGGTTCATGCAAGTTGTGCATTGAAACATCTTGAAACATTACTGCAAACTTGGTGTCTCCCAAGTTTTGTTAAGCCAAGGTCGGTTGCATAGTGGAAACCAAAGTGCAACCCATTCGAAACCCTCGAGGTGCCTGCATTGAGCATGGCGGTGATGGCACCGCACTGGGCCAACATGCCAGAGATGGCACCTGGCCCACCTGGCCCTGGCCCACCCGGCCCTGAGCTACCGGCTCTGGAAGCGACAGCACAAGAAGAGGCAGAAGCTGAAGCTCCACAAGAGGCACCGACAGCAAAGCCCACGAAGAAGGCGCAACTTGGAAAGAGACTGCGAGCATTTGCAAGCATCCTTCTTCACAGAAGCCACATGTGTGTTTATAAATATCAATGTGTACATATATATATAATACCATATAAATATATTAATATGTATATATGTATATATGTATATATGTATATATGTGTATATATGTATATATGTATATATATGTATATATGTATATATATGTATATATGTATATATATATATATGTATATATGTATATATGTATATACATATGTATATATGTATATGTGTATATGTGTATATGTGTATATGTGTATATGTATATATGTATATATGTATGTATATGTGTATAATACATCTGTATATATGTATATATGTGTATATATATATGTATATTTGTATATTTGTATATATGTATATATGTATATATGTATAATATAAATAGTATATATATATACATATATATATGTATATATGTGTATATATACGTATGTATATACATATGTATATGTATATGTGTATATATATATGTATATATGTATATATGTATATATGTATATATGTATATGTGTATATGTGTATATGTGTATATATGTATATACGTATATGTATATATATATATGTATATGTATATATGTGTATATATGCGGTAGGGGGAGTAGGTTCTCCGATAGGACGTCAATCAGGATCATTGAATTTGAGAAAAAACAATGTTTTACTGTAGTAAAATGGAGATGTTTGATGTAGTTTATTTCATAGTTGATGTCTTTAATTACGGATGTTTTTTTTTCGTCCGTCGAAGTTGAAGTCGTAGATGGACCATGACAACATGTCTTTTTTTGTGTTCTTTTTTCCCCATTGGAATTACGTGGTGCATATTTAGTGATATATCAAAGATCATTGGAAAAGGGTATAATGTAGTGTGTTTCCACAGGTATTTTGATGTGATGTTGTTTTTCATTGGGAATTCTCAGTGTTTTTGCATATCATCCAAATTTCCCAGTGATGTGAGTCAGCTGTTTTTTTTCTGTTTCAGCCGTCCCATGGTGCTTCTTTGAACACTAACGTTGGCTGGCGGCAACTTTTTATTGCCAGCTGCCGAAAGCGTGCGAGTGCTTTCACGACGCTTTCCAAACCAGGCTTTTTGTTTAGATAGTGCACTGCTAGAACGTTGCGATGTTCGATTGGGTCGTTGACAACCTTCTGCAATCCACGTAGCAACAACGTAGCATCACCGTAGCATCACCGTAGCAACAACGTAGAATCAACGTAGCATCCACGTCCACGCAAGTTACATGAACGTTATTGCACCCCACCCCACCCCACCCCACCCCTTCCCCCCTGGGGAACCCCCTCCCCCTAGGGTATATGTATAATAATGTGTATATGCATAATAATGTGTATATGTATATATGTATATATGTTTATGTATACTGTAAATATATATA